GCTGAGATTCCTTTCTTTTTAGCACCTTATTACTCGAATGGGCATCTAAGGTGGTCTAGCTCCATAATTTATTGCCTATGCCTTCTTTATAGTTAAAGAAAGAAACGACTTTTTCACTGATAAAATATTTCTGCTCTCTCGGCGAATCAAGATCCTTTCTTTCATCCTTACTCTCTCGTAAAAGCTTGAGAAAATACCAGTGAACAACTAAATGCTAGTGGATAGGAATAATCTTCTTCTTTTTTTAATATTTTCCTGAGTTTATTATATTAAATCTCCTATCAAAGTGGAAGGCAAGAGCTTGTTGTAGACAACATTATTCTTTTTGCCCAATTTCTTTCGTTAAAGTTAGTTTGCATACCATGAATATATCCATATCTGCGATTACATTGATCATGACAGTCCATCCTCGTTGAAATTAGGGTTTGTATGATTTGAACTTCCATGCCTATAGCTAGCTAGCTAGCTAGCCCAGCTCCTGCATCCTTTTCTACCTGGAAAATAACTTGGGAGAATATTATCATCAGTCTCATGCCTTCGATGTGTGTGGCATGCATGCCTGCCTCTGGTGAATTGTTCGTGTTATTTCTTCGATAAAGAATATCGGCTATATGGCACACAGGGATCGATTTCAACATGCCGAGAGGGTTGCTTCTCTCTGCCAAATTATCCTTTATCAAAAAGTGTAAAGTGAAATTAAATTGTTTTTCTTCCTGTCGTTGATTAAAACTATTTCAGTGAATGGAGAATATGTTGTCACTAATAGGAAATATGAAGCCATGTTGTGTTTGGTCTAATATTTTATTATTTCATACCAATTTATAATAACATAACACCTAATTTACATTAAGTATTAACAAGAATTAAATTTAAAAATATTAATTTACTTTAATTTATTAAAATAATTAATAGATCTAATTAAAATTTATATTATTTTTTTATAAAAAAAATAATATTATTTTGATCAACTCAAGTGATTCTGCACAACTTATAACTTTAATTTTGAGTTGAATAAGAGATTTATTTTAAAACGAGCTAAAGATTAGCAAGAGTATCAATAACTTTATGCATAGTGATATTAAAAGTCTTCATATATAATTATTCTCTCGAGCTAGTTTTTTTTTTTTTTTTTTTGGGAACAATATTTGGACCTCGATCGGCTCATTTCAAATTGTTAAAGGGCTCTTATATTCAAGCTATTTTTTGGACCAACGACAAGTCTTCGTGGAATTATTTAGAGCTCACACATCGAAACCCAAATGCTGTATTGAATGCAGAAACCCATTATGGTAAATAAGCAAGTCGATGGCTTTTCTCTGCTCTTCAGCAGAGCAAGCAAGCTGTTGGGCCATCAAAGCCCAAAGATAGATTGCTTTAATTATGGGCTTCATGGCACTTTTATATAAATGAGTATTTTTTTTTTGGCAAAGAGAAAATGGTTAGGTTGCCTCTAAACAAATGCTGACTGGAATTATTTTTTTTAATGTTATAATATGATTAAGACTAAGCTTATATTTTAGAGCCAACAAATCATTATTTTGATAATAATAAAAAAAAAATTTGTAACTTCTTTATTAAGAACAATATTTAAGAAAATTTATAAAACTTCTTTTAATGCTGTCTAAATTTTTAGAACGTATTTGAAAATATAATTATGATTATTTTTTAAAGTGTATTTTATCTAGAAAAATATGTTAATAATATTTTTTATTTTTTAAAAATTATTTTTAAGATCAACATATTAAAATATTTTAAAAATATAAAAAAATATATTAATTTAAAGTAAAAAAATAAAATTCAAATTCTTTAAAAAATATTTTTAAAAAATAATGCCAAACACTCCTTTAATGTAATCCGAGAAGAGACACCATTTCTAGAAGAAACTTATTCTCAGTTGACTTGTAACTACTTTAAAAATACCCTTAACGTAGTTGTTATTTAAAAAAAAAAAAAGAAGCCTAAACTGCCAAATAAAAATAAGATAAAGCCAGCATTATATTTACAGATACAGACTTGCTTACGTTTTACGATCTCCAAAAGGATTATATAATTTTATTATGATTCTTAAAACTACAAGATTAACCTATTTTCTTAAAGAAAATAGAGGGCCTTGCTTTGCAAATCACCATAGATGGTCAAATAGAAACCTTTGCAGCGTGGGAAAACTTATAAAATCAATTTTAATATCTTAATATTCTAATTAATCCAAGTAAATCAAAATCAAAATCAATTTGGATATTTTTTCATTTAATATGTAACTCTCTTTTTTTTGTATTTAACATGACGTGTGTTTTTATTTTTGTATTTTGCATTGAGATAATTTCTTTATTATTTTTGTATTTTGCATTGGTACTATAATTAATTTCAAATATTGATTTTGATTATTAATTTGAGATCTAATTATAAATTGACATAGAGAAATGATGAGATCAAACGATAAATTATTTGATGTGTTTATGCATGCCACCTCAAAAGAATAAATGATCATATTTTAAGCAAGTTGAACAATTATGATCGACTTTAAAGGGAAACACAATCAGTTAAAAACATCGCCGAATCTTTTTTCTTTAGAAAAAAACATCGATGTTATACACTCCATTTCAGTGCATCATTTGAAAACTATGCGTATAATTAAGATTGGTTAATTATTAATTTTATTTTATTTTATTTTTGTAAAAATTAAACAGTCATTTCTTTTCTTAAGGTTGCATGGAGAATCATAGTGATTACTTATGATAATATATAATTCTTGAAAAACAAACAATAAGAAAGAGAGAAATCGTGGAAAATAGCCATTAAATTTCTTTCTTGAAAAGCAAAAATCCATTTAGAGAATAAGAATGTTGTCATTAATCTTATTCTTTACTTTGTTTAATTTGACTATTTCGTTTCTTTAACCAACAAATTATATTCTAAATACTTATGCACTAAACTATAATCATTGGAAAAATCCCCAATTTTGCACTATCAGTACTAATTCCAAATCATATTATTCTTATTGTATATATATATATATATATATCCAATTCTCAACAAAAAAAAATTATTACAAAAATTATATTCTGTATTCATAATCAATAAATCTTTTTTTGAAATTACATGCGTGTGTGTGGATTACATATTCAATTTTTAATATTTATTGTAAAAATTACATTCTTTATTTATATTTTTTAAATTTAATATGAAATCTGGATTTTAACAAATATATATATATATATATTAATGTGAAAATTATATATAAAATACAGATTAATTATAATTTAATTAACATATGACAAAAAATAGTTAAAAAGATTTTAAATAGAAAAAATATTTGATAAAAACGACTCAAATCAATATTTTTAAAGAAATAATGCACTACTTAGACGTTCATATATCCATGTCTAAGTACTTCATTTATTTCCTGTAGATCTGCTTGTAATTTATCCATCCTATCAGCCACTCCAGCTCAGTCTCTTATATGATCAAGCCTGGCCTGTCGTAAACATCAGTAACAAGATTAAAGTCATCGAAGGTCAGATCATATGGACTAAAAATGATTGGAAAATTTCCCAGAATCATAACTGATCATCAATGCATTATTATGATCTATGCCCATGCATGACAGAAAGAGGTAAAGGTCTTGTTTGGATGCCAATTATATATAGACACACACAATAAATGCAAACTAAGAGATTTTTCTTCTTTTTTGCTGATCTTCTGCATGTTGTTAATATATATAAGCAATGGCTTGCATTAAAAGGCTAAAAAGAAAGGCGGAGAAAAAATATGAACATAAACGTTTCTACACAATCTATGAGTCAGAAGATAATTTGAACCAATTAGAAAGATTGTATATCTAAGAAAAACACCACAAAGTCAGTAACATTTTATTTTGCAAAACCATATAGTTAGTATCGCGCAAAACATGAGATTAGAAAGATATCGAGTCCAAATGCTAAGAAAATTTAGATGCAAGAATGAAAAACTTATGAAAACTCCAACTAGATGACTTGTTCATCCGATTAATAACAATAACATAATCAAATTCAAAGATGAAATCATTTCATGAAGAAAATAGTTCAATAAGTTTAATCACAACTAGCAGCTAGCGACTAAGCTTAATTCATTTCTTTAATTCCAACAGGAATTGAGAGGAAAAAAACCAGAACCAAGCCTTTATAATTGCTAACAATCCCTCAACATTTCATTTTAGCATATCAGATCACTCACCCTTAACTGGTGAGCTAAAATACTTGATTAGCTAGTTAACTTGCTATAAGACCTGCAGATTTGCCATTTTCCACGGAGTCAGAATTACAATAGATCATAGCAATATAAGGTTCTGGTTCATCCATTTTCCTAATTCAGCAACCAGTAACAGGGAAAAAAAATCCCTTAACACAAAACTATATAAGAGCAAAAGAGTATTTTGTAAGCAGGAGCAAAGCATAACCCACACAAGAATTTTCTAAAACAAGAGTGAAGACTGAGCTGAATGATCTCTCTCTCCCTGTCCGATTTGGGTGTGCTACCCAAAATTACTCCCTCTTCTTCACCAGAAGACAATCTACATCTTGTTCTCACTGAAACCTTACAAAATCAAGGAGTTTTAGGACTGGACAATGATAAACGTCATTAGAATTATGGGATTGCTTGTGATCAATCACAAAAAAGTCTATTTTAACTGTTATATGAACTACAAGCTACTTAATCACTTGTTAGTGGTTGATATAGGGAATCAAAAGCCATATACAAGGTAGAAATTATCCCCTAAACTTTAATTTTCTATTCAAGCAAATCGAAAATCCAAAGCCTAATTAATGAACATCTAAGATTATATAGAGATTTTTCTCCTTCTTCAATGAAAAAAGAACCAAAAAAAAAAAAGTATGAAAGAAGAACAGATTAAAGTTTACCTCAGAGAGTAGCAACCGGATTCATCTAGAAGAAAATTAAAGCCCTTTATTTCATACAGTTAGATATATATATGTATTACACCAAATTATGTCACAAGTTATTAAAAAAACTCTGATCTCCTCCATATATATGTAGTATTGCCTACGTTTTGATCTTCTACTTCATCTCCATCATAAGAAGAAGGCCTTAGTATTTCTCAAGATTGGTTTCTGAGAGAACTTCCATTTGATCTTCTACTTCATCCCCGTCATACGAACTAGGCCCTAGTATTTCCCAAGATTGATTTCTGAGAGAACTTCCATTAATTAATTGCAGTAGCTTCTTAAAGAAACCTAAACTCTAATATTGTTGGTTCAGGAATCTGGTCAGTTTGCTGCTGTACTGCTTGGCAACTTGTATCGTTGGATTCTTCATCTTTGTTGACCTTGTCAGTGTCAGTAGCTTTCTTTTGGTCAGCCTTTGCCCTTTCAGCCTCCCTGTATTTGTGCAAATACCTTACTGTAGTGTCAGCATAGTCATCAAACCCTAAAGAACTGAGAGCCCAACAGACATCATCTCCGTTCAATGCCTTGCGATTCTCCTTGCGACACTTGTTAGAAGCCTCGCTAGTGACAAAGCTTATAAACTCTGTTGCACATTCTTGCATTCTTTGCTTAGCTTCTTTCGAAACCCTTGCTGTTGGTGGCAGGCGCTGCTTCATTACCCGACCCACATTGGCAATAGGCAACAACTGATCCTGCTTATCATCATCCATTTGTGTTTTCAGTCAGAAATATTATTTACTCTTTGTTTTGCATTCTAGCTTCTTATAAATAGACGTGCCAATGAATGCAAGTTTATGTCGAATGCATACATACGCACAAGCATGTATATATGAACGCACACAAGTGTGGCATTCCCCCATCACATGACAATGTGACATAGAGTTTTTATATATTTTTTAGAAGTTGTGTCTAATTTATCTTAATTTAAAATAAAAAAAGTGTTTTCAATTTAGTATTTTGACGTTATATTTTCGTGTCAAACTAATTTAAACATATCAAGTAAAATTTGAACTTCATGTTTCTTAAATTGTACCACTCATTAAAAGAATCAAAGAAAAAATAAATGCTAACAATTTTTTTTATATAAAAAAGCTTTAACATATATGTGTGTGTGAAATAACTTACACATAAAGGTATATAAAAAAGCTTTAACATATATGTGTTTAACATATATGTGTGTGTGTGAAATAATTTCACATAAACGTATATTACATCTTAATTTATCTAATTCTAATTAAAAATTCAAATATTCTTCTATTTTCCCTAACCCTTAATTAATAAAGAATATTTTGGATATATAACCTCTGATAATGTGCAAGACCCATGATGTATCTTTATTAGATTTAAAACAATTAAATATATTTTCATTTGATGTGCATGAATCATTATTAATTTCCAAGTAAAAAATACTTAAAACAATTAAATATATTTTCATTTGATCATGTGCATGAATCATTATTAATTTTCAAGTAAAAAATATTATAAAAATAATTATTATCATAATTTTAAATACCCCATACACACACATATCTATATATATATATATATAATGAGTTGCGATTCTCAATGCTTTTATAAACCTAGCGTAAATATCGCATGTATCATGTAATATAATATAACATAACCTCCATCAAATAACGAGTTACTATTTTTGGTATTTTGAAGTCAAATTTAAAATTGGTTTTGATGAATATAATAAAGATTATATAACAAAAAAAATAAGATATTTTGCTTAAATCACCAACGCAAATATTTCTAAATATAATAATTTGAGTTTTATACTCCTTGCATTTATTTACATTTGCCAGATTAGAATCCTAGCAAGCTTGATTCCGAGCTATAAAAAACTTGTTGTGGGCCCCCTAGAGTGTATTCCACGCGCCCATCCCTTTTCTTACACTGCATATAATATGAAAATTCTGTGTGCTCGCAGCGTGCAAGAAATGCTTATATAATTCAGTTTCTTCTATTAAAATGAGTGGACTTCGTTTGTGCACGTTTGCCTGTTTAGGGCCCAAGACGAAGAAAATTAAAAAGAAATTTGTTCTGAAAAGCATTACTGTTTGATTACCTCAAATTGAGGTTAGTTTTTAGGGTTTGGTTATCCATCATGGCAACACAACCTGTGCATTATGAGCTTAGACTGTTTGGTTGGTCGCATTGATGTCACATCGAAAGCTTTAGAGCTATGCTACGACTCAAGTTAATTAGATTTTTTTTTTTAAGGTTTATAAAAATCTATTTAAACTTGTTATTAAATTCATTCTAACAAATTAATCTTGAATATTGAATTGTTAGTGCCACTAAGTTCATGACAGATTATAGACAAACAAACTGAAATAGATTATTTAAATATTTAATTTAAAATTAAAATTAAATTATATAAAAATTATTCTGAGAAGATCTAATTAATTTGAATGAATGATTCAAAAATAAATAAAATATTATAACTTTAAAAATAATAAAATAATTTTTTAAATACTAAAATAATAATATATTGAATTAACACTAACTTCAAATTTAGCTTTTAAATTTATTATTCAAGTGGATTTTACTAAATTTAAAAGCTTTGTTATTTTAAATTACTTTTTAATTAATTATATAATAATAAAAATGGATATTTATAAAATTAAATATCAAATATTTATTTAAAAATATGATATCCATTTAAAGAATATGGGACATCCCACCTTCCCTTATGCAATCTATGGTGTAGTCTTTCGGTAAATGAATGGGGAAAACATGATGACTAAAAAGAAGGTTGGGAAGAAGGAACATTTCCAATGACTATTGGTTTCTCTCGAGAAAAAGAAAAGAATATATATATATAATGAGTTGTGATTCTCAATGCTTTTATAAATCTAGCGTAAATATCGCATGTGTCATGTAATATAATATAACATAACCA